GCCCGCCCTCCTGCTCTCTAGTCTGGCCCAGAGCCTCACTTCTCAGGAGCACAGCCCAGTGCTGGCTCTGTCAGCATGGCAGCTGGGGTGGGCAAGGTCAGCAACAGGCTGTGTAGGGAGAGCCCCGTCTCGTGCAGACTCTCACACAGAAGCACAGCCACCCCTCTGGTCCTGCCTGGCTTTCTCTAGGAGGCAGGCAGGGGGTTCAGGAGGATGGCTTTGCTATGGATTGAAGTGTGCCCCCTCCCCACCCCCCAAAGGTGTCACCGGGACTGGGCCATGCTTCTCGGGGTTAAGCACTCCTCCTCTGTTTCAAGAGCTGACGTAATCATCCACAGGTGGTGACTCCTCATCTCTATGATGCTGAGTCAGCACCTAAGGTCAACACAAGAAAACGTAACTTTCCAGGAATGGAAACCTCGCCCTTCTCTCATCGAGGGTGGCTGGTAGGTTTCGAAGTGCTGACGCAGCAGTCCCCCTGTAACCCACACCACCACCAGGGCTCCCTCGGATCAGAGGGATTACGTTACATGAGGCAGGACGGAGTCTTCAGGAGCAGGCTGAAGCTTGCTTGAGATACAGAAGGGGTTAAATGAGTGAGTGGACTGATAGGTCTACCATCACCAAGAAGGAAGGGCCAGCAGCAGAGGGCCCTTCGGACCAGTCTGTTCTGAGAGCCTCCTAACCCAGGGAAGGCTGATGACAGGCTGTCCCCAGAGCTGACTGGCTTCCAGAATGCAGACGCTTCATCCGTCTGGGCTCGGCGGAGACGCCAAGAATACTTAACTGTCACAAGAGAGACAGGTGGGGAGGAAGGAGGGGGACAAAGCCCACACACAACTGCACTCTTTTTATATAGAATTTGTACAATATATTTCTCTTCATTTGCATATTTTACTGACAGTTTAACACCCTTTTTACAAGCTGAACTCACCCAGCTGATATAATCAAAATTCTTTCTTTCAGCCAAATAAGAAAAATTCAAAGTTGTAAACCCGTAAGAAAACAAACGAGGAAGGATGACGGCAATGAAGCCTCCTCCCGTCTAAGAAAGGTTTCTGCAGCGGAGGCACACGGCCCCAGCACTCCCGACACCGGGCAGGCCTGCCTCCCAGAAAGGGCCCCCGCCGGTGGTCTTGAGGGAGATGGGGGCACACTCGCCTAGCTGGGGACCAGGAGCCGAGGGGGCCGGAGTGCAGGGAAGCCGGGGCGTGTTCCAGCCAACTGGGGAGAGGACACCAGTGAGGGAGGGCATGGAGAGCAGCTGAGGAGTCCAGCGTTTATTTACACATCCTCCTGATGGGAAGGTGGGGAGCAGGCCTGGAGGCAACTGCCTCAGGGGTCTGGCACCCGATAACGCCTCACTCCGAGACGGGGGTGAGGCTCTTGCTGCATGGACCTGTAAGGCCCAGGCAGAGTGACTCTTGAGCCCACAGTAGGGCCCTCCCCTCCCAGGCCCCATGCTGGGCCTCTCCCTGTGACAGCTCCTGAGGTCTGGGCAGGAGCACAGAGGGCCTTTCCCGGGGGTGTAGGCAGCTGGGCCTCAGGGTGCACTGAAAGGTTGGGGATTGGGTGGTGGCCAAGAGGGTCCCCCAGGTTTGGGTTTGGATGACCCAGTCTTGCAAAGCAAGGCTGGTTTTGGCAAAGAGCAAAGGATGGGAAAGGGTCTCCATGGGTGGAGTAGGCACATCCTTCTACCCAGGTCCCAGCAGCACGAGGGACAGGCCCTCAGGGCCCGCCTCCCACCCGCACTCCAAATGCACCCAGGTGGGACTCTCACTGGGGGGCTGCCGTGGGTTCCCGCTCCTTCTGTCTGGATCTAGGGGGCAGAAGGGCTCTTTCAGTAACAACCTGCGCCTCAGAGTCTCCCAACCCCAGTCTCCTGCAAACCTGGCAGAGCGGGCTTCAGAGGCAAGGGACAAACTGGGTCCTGGCTTGGAGACCTGCCTGGGGTCTGGCCCTGGGGGGAGGTGGGGTATCCAGCCCTGAGCTGACACCCCCCTGTGATGGCAGCCACCTGAGGTCTCGTCATACAGACAGGCTCCACCTGCCAATCCAGCTGGTGCTCCCACCTGTCTTTGGAGGAAGAATCATCAGCACTTGAGGGCAGACCGGGGCGGGAGGTGCACAGAGTACTCGCTGGGATGAATGTTGTTATTGCTAGACAAGTGACAGCCCAGCAACCACTTGGGGTCCCCCAGGGGTCACGGAGATTCTAAGGACCACCGGGCAAAATTAAAATCCTATTTTTATAAAATTCCTAAAATAAGATCCCTTTGCTAACACTTCAAGTCTTTAGGTCCAAAAGGAAACAGACTCAAACCTACCGCCAGCAAGCTGATTCCCACTCACGGCGTCCCTGCAGGACAGAGTAGAACTGCCCGGGGTTCCCAAGGCTGGGAGTCCTCACCAAGGCAGACCGCCACACCTGCCCGGCAGCCGGCCAGTGGGCTCCCACTGCCAACTCACAGGTTGGAAGTGGTATTTTAACCCCAGAGCCACTGGGCTCCTTGCTTTGGGTGCAGAAGCTAAAAAGTCTTCCCCAAGTTCAGCTACCCGCACACCAGCCCAGCCTGTCCTCGCCAGGAATCCAGTGTGGTTCTGCTGACAGCCTCCAAGCAAACCGGAGCCCATCCGCATGACCGAGCCAGGATGGATCTTGGGAGCGGAGGCTGCTGGGCCTCAGGGCGCACTGAAAGGCTGGGGATTGGGTGGTGGCCAGGAGGGTCCCCCAGGTTTGGGTTTGGATGACCCAGTCTCGAGAAGCAAAGCACAAGAGCAGTTTCCACGCCGTGTCTTGCTGCTGCAGGTCGTGCTGAGAAAGGCGGTGCGGGCAGACTCTGTCCTCCCCCGAAGGGCAGGTGCTGGCTGTGCCAGCTCCACGGCCCAGAGTCTTCCCGGGCCTTCTGACAGATGGCCCTGGAGGAGGCTGCCCCATCAGCCCATGCCGTGGGGTGTGCACAGTGCGCTAGTCTGCTGACACAGCAGCTCTCGGGAGACTCGGAGGCTGCTTATGCTCTACCTGGGGGTTCATGGAGAGCTGGAACTGACGCGACAGAAATTTTCCTGAATGGGATTAGATGTCTGCTCCATAGCCCTGTGGAGGGGCTCGGCAGAGTCATGCGGGCACGCACCAAGGGCTAACACTCGACATTCCAGAGGAGGGTGGCCTTGTTTGGGTAGTTGATGGCCAAGCTGATGGCTGCGATGTTCTGCAGAGCCTGCAAGGGAGAGGAGGAGTAAGTGCACCATCAAGAACACTGGGAAAGTATTCCTGAACAAGGCCCACAGCTGAGCGCTCAGGGAGGAGGGCTGAGAAGAGTCAGGTGAGGCCCCAGCGGCAGAGAGCAGGCAGCCTCCCTGCCATGAGGCAGGGCCATCACCGCACTGGGGGGCTTGGTGGTCCCAGGATGGCAGAACAGAGTGGCAGGACAGAGTGAAGACAGAACGCTAGCCCAGCCCAGGGCAGCAGCTGCGGGAGGGCCAGGCTGGACATGGGGCTGGGGAGAGGGAGAAGCCCACGGGGAGCTCACTATGCTCACACCGCCAAGCCTCAGTGTCGTGGTGCCATCAGCCTGGGG